AAAATTTACTAGTATTACTATCCTTGTGGGGACATTTGGTCCCCATAACGTGATAAATACCAGGTACACACACACACAAACACACACACACACACACAGGAGAGTGAATCATTGTTCTGGACTCTCTGGGTTCCTGCTTGTCTTTTGTTTTAAGAACAGAAGATGGAAATGCTGCATGAACTGACTGGACGTGATTAATGGATCCTGAAAAACATCATATAACAAACGCAGCATCCGACCTGCAGACAAACCACCGCGAGATTGAGTTTCCCTCATTAGTGCGCTCCCGTGACGAACACGCGTGACTCTAGTGCGATCATCTGCAGCTAACAGGGAATGTGCTCAGAACGTTCAGACAAGGTTCTCTCAACGTTCTGAACAAATGTTTTTCCAGTAACGTTAATACAACATTTGTTCAAAGTGATCTGGTCTTTAACAATGTTCTCAAAAACTTTTGAAAGTGACATTAGAAAAGTAACATTCCCATAATGCTTGCAAAACAACAAAATGTAACATTCCCCTTAATGTTTTCTCTAACGCTCACATAACCAAGAAAAAAACGTTTTATAAACATTTAAATGCTGTACATTCAGAAATAACATTTTCATACCGTAACAGTAACGTTAGCAGAACGTTCTCAGAGCATCTCTTTGGCCGCAGAGACTCTGACCTCCGTTCAGAGGTCAAAAGCTGATTGTTTTCACACCAGCCAAGAATAACGCAACAGCAGAAGAAATATGTGTCCGCGCAGCGTCCTCCTCGCGCTAAAGTCAACACACATGAATATTTACGCTGGGCGCTCGCTCGCTCTGAAGTGTAAATAACCCCAGCACATCATCAAGCGGGATTAGGAATAATTGCACCCACTGATCTGAGTTTATTTCACCCACAATCCCCTGAGAGAATCAAATCAAAGCACAGGCCGCGCAAAAACAGTGTAGAGCGGGAAAAACGTGTGTGTCTAATGAGAATACACACACACACACACAGGTGAAAGGCATCTCACACACACACAAACAAACACACACACACGCGCACACACACACACACACAGGTGAAAGGCATCTCACACACACACACACACACACACACACACACACACACACGCTCTGGACACCTAATACAGAATTTCATTATAAACACACACAGATACACACACACTCAAACAAAAAAGGGCCAAAAAACAAAGAGTCTCAGCATCCCACAGCGAGCTTTATTAATTTTGACAGTGCCGTATGTAAATGCCTATTTTAGTGCAT